TTGATAACTGCTACCCATGCGAAGAGTTCAAGGACCTTTCTACGTGAGACTCATGGCATGGAACGGTCTTGGTGCGCGCTTGTTATGCGTGTGTGGCTGAGGATAGTCTTCCTCTTCCTGGGAGTACGATTGGTCTTTGGCGTGTTGGCCTCTATACAAGAGAATCAGCGGCTCTACCCACAGGTGCCGTTCATCAAGATGGAGAAAGCCTTGAATTCGACTATTACGGTTGACCACGCGATCATGAGCTCAAGTTTTGCTAGAGATGACTCGCTAGGACATGGGCCTGTTGATATTGCAAGATACGCTGTCTGTGACCAGGAGTTTTGGGGACTGCATGTCACTGATTATGGCATGATGAGCTTGGCCGCATACTTCACCACAGTAGGAGATCAGCAAGCTGTTGTTGATACCTTCTTTCCTGGTCAAGGAATGAAGGTCGTTCCTGCAATGGAGGGCGATGACCCGTTTTGGGTAGAGATACAAGTTGACGACAACCTCACCGTTATAGCCGTCAAAGGGACTGATTTTTGGCGTGCTAGTGACTATAATGAGGATATACGCATGTGGACAGAGCCAGTGGTGACGTCTCTGCTCAGCACCGTTTTCCCGACAGTCAAAATCTGGTCACCCGGTACCACTGCTATGGTATTAGATGCAGAGCAAGAGATCCTCTCGGCCATGGGTATACCTCGAGCGGATTATAAGCTTACTAGAGTGAGTCGGGGCTTAGGCACGGCAGAGTGACTGTTGCTCCCGTCTCGCGCTGTACTTCAGCGGCAAACCTCTCCGATATTGTCTTTTTATTCAGGTTATCGATTACGTGAATTCATCTGCAGAGCGGCTATCATCTAGAGACGTCGTGTTCACTGGTCATTCCCTTGGGGGTGGTATCGCCCTGGCCGCCGCGGCCTTGGTGAACAAGCCAGTCGTCGCGTTCTCTCCGCCAGGAATGTATCAATCCATCAGCAAACACCTATATCGGTATGCACCCGATAGGAGACAAGCCTTTCAGGTAGGCTCCTCCTTGAGCTCTTGGTTCTTGAGTTGAATATTGTCGAGTTTTCTCGTATTCAGGCCACACACAACCAGTCGGTGACTATTATAGGAGAGAACGATGTGGTTTCCCATATTTTCGACACCCATGCAGGGTTGGTTCAGACCATCACTTGCAGTACCGAGCACCTTGCCATGGTCGGCTGCCACATGCTAGAGAACACTCTGTGCAACCTCATACGCCA